TTCTCCAGCACGGCCCGGAGCTTCCAGCCCCCAGGCGCCGCCTCCCTGAGGCCGAGACTCGCGGCCGGAACCGGCGGGCCGGAGCCGGGCACCTTCGCGGGCCTGGGCGGGGGTCTCTGCTCCCGGGGGCAGCGCGCATCCCCCTGGCGGCGAGATCCAGTCCTGGAAAGGGGCGGCCCTGGAACGGCGGGAGGCTCCAGCCCCTCCGCCGGAGCCCGCTGCTCCTGCGCCCCGGCAGCGCCGGCCTCGTCCCCGGCGCGCACAGGCGCCTTCTTGGCGCGGGCCCCGGGCGCGCGCACCTGCGGCCTCTCCCTGGAGTCCGGGGCGCTTTTCCTCTGCTGGGATCCCGACCCCCTGGCGGAGCCGCCCCTCCCCGCGTTGGCCTGGGCGGCCTTGGGGGCAGCTGGAGACTCACTGCGTTCCGTCCGGGCGCCCCTCGAACTCCGCACCGAAACCTTGGGGACCTCGGTTCCCGCCTTCGACGCTGTCCGCGTCGCCTTTCCGCGCCTAGGGTCCATGGCTGGCGCTCTCTGCTCCCCGAAAGAAGAACAGGCTTTGGGGAAAAGCTACGGGAGGAAGAACCAGCAGTGGCGGCGGGAAACGAAACTTAAATATCTGGCAGGAACTTAGCAGTCTGAGGTCAGGGAGGGAACACCTAAGGGGAAGCCACTGGGAGCCACGCCCTGCCGGGAAGCGGGTGGCTAGGGCCTGAGAACTTGTGATATTTGTCTTCTGTGCCTGACTTATTTCACTTAATGTAACCACCTCCAGCTCCATTCATGTTGCTACAAATGATGTGATTTCATTCTTTTTTCATGGCTGAATAGTGTTTCTCTGTGTGCGTGTGTGACCTTTTCTTTATCCATTCATCTGTCAATGAACACTTAGGTTGATTGCATATCTTTGCAGCAGTAAACATGGGAGTGCATGTATCCCTTTGATATATTGATTTCTTTTCCTTTGGATTAATACCCACTAGTGAAATTGCTGGATGGTATGGTAGTAATATTTTTAGTTTTTTGAGAAACCTCCAGACTGTAGGTCATTGAACACTGCCTATGAAAAATACTAACTAAATAAAATGAAAATCTTCATACTGTTTTCCACAGTGACTGTACTAATTTACATCCCCACCAGCAGCGAATAAGAGTTCCTTTTCCTCCACATCCTTGCCAACATCTGTTACTTTTTGTACTTTTGATAACAGCCCTTCTAACTGGGGTAAGATGATATCTCTTGTTTTTGATTTGCATTTCCCTGGTGATTGTGATGTTGAGCATTTTTTCATATACTTGGCCATTTGTGTGTCTTCTTTGGAGAAATGTCTATTCATGGCCTTTGCCCATTTTTAATGGGATTATTTGTTATTTTACTTTTCAGCTGTTTGGGTTCCTTGTAGATTCTGGATATTAGTCACTTGTCGGATGAATAGTTTGTAAATATTTTCTTCCCTTCAAGAGGTTGTCTCTTCACTTTGTCAATTGTTTCCTTTTCTGTGCAGAAGCTTTTTAGTTTAATACAGTCCCTTTGGTCTGTTTTTGGTTTTGTTGCCTGTGCTTTTGAGGTCTTAGCCATAAAATCTTTGCCTAGACCCATGTCCTGAAGAATTTTCCCTGTGCTTTCTTCTAGTAGTTCTATAGTTTCAAGTCTTACATTTAAGTCTTTATCTGAAGTTGATTTTTGTATGTGGTGAGAAATTGGGGTCCAGAAACTGAATTCATTCTTCTGTATTTGGTTGTCCAGTTTTCCCAGCACTGTTTATTGAAACACAGTTTAAATTTATGTTATCTCTGGCTCTTTTATCATTTCTAAAATTGTTAAATTAGGCCTTTGTCTTTCTTTTTTGTTTTTTTAATTTTTTTTTGACCGGGAGCCACACCCAGGAAGCCTTGAGCAAGTGGACTCCCCTTTCTCTTCTTGATAGTTTTGCCACGTTTCTTTTTGTGGCTCCTTATTACTTGTTTGGTGGTTCATTCATTTCTGCTCCTATTTTGGCTATTTCCTGCCTTCTATTTTCTTGCATTCACTCTTTTTTGTCTAAATTTCTGAGATTATTAACTCACCATTTCTTATTTTCAATATATCTGATTTTCAAATACCTGTGTTTATAGTTATACATTTTAAAAGACTCTCACAGCCACATCCTACAATTTTTACATTTGGTGTTTGTATAAGTTTCTTGTGGCTGCTGTAACAAATTACAACCAACTTCATGTCTTAAAACAACAAAAATTAGCTAGGAGAGGTGGCTCACGCTTGTAATCCTACCACTCTGGAAGGCCGAGGCCAGAGGATCGCTTCAGGTCAGCAGTTTGAGACCAGCCTGAGCAAGAGCGAGACCCCCGTCTCTACTAAAATAGAAAAAATTAGCCGGGCATGGTGGTGCACACCTGTTGTCCCAGCTCCTCGGGAGGCTGAGGCAGGAGGATTGCTCGAGCCCAGGAGTCTGAGGTTGCTGTAAGCAAGGGTGACGCCACGGCACTCTAGCCCAGGCGACAGAGTGAGACTGTCTTAAAAAAAAAAACAAAAAACCAGAAATTTGGCCAGGCGTGGTATCTCACACCTATAATACCAGCACTTTGGGAAGCTGAGAGGTGGAAGGAGAGTTGGGGATTGCTTGAGGCCAGGAGTTTCAGACCAGACCTGGGCAACATAGTGAAACCCCTATGTCTACAAAAAATTTAAAAATTAGCTAGGTGTCACCACCTGTGTGCCTGTTGTCCCAGCTACTTGGGAGGCTGAGGTGGGAGAATCCCTAGAACCAAGGAGTTCGAGGCTGCAGTGAGCTATGATGATGCTACTGCACTCTCGCCTGGACAACAGAGTGAGACCCTGTCTCTTAAAAAAAACAACCTCAGAAATTTATCTTCTCACCTTACAGTTCTGGAAGTCTGAATTCAGTATCACTGGGCAAATTCAAGGTGTGGGCAGGTTCATGCCCCCTTGGGAGGCTCTAGGGGAGAAATCCTTTCTTGATGCGCTTTCTGGTGGGTGCCTAGCATTTTTGGCTTGTATCTGCATCATTCCATCTCCATCACGCCTCTCTGGTCACATTGCCTTGTCCTCTTCTATCTATAGTCAAATCTCCCTCTGCTTCCTCGTAGAAAGATATATGTGACAGCATTTAGGGTGCACTCATATAATCCAGAATTATCTCCCCCGTGGCAAGATCCTTAATTTAATCACACCTGCAAAGATCCTGTTTTCACATAAGGTAAAATTTAAAGAATCAGGGCCTGATATTTTTGAGGGCCATTTTTCAGCATACTACAATGTTTTCATGGAAGTATTTTCCAATGTACGTGACAATTTCTTCTAATATAGAGGTATGTTTCAAAAAGTCCAAAATAAGGGGATATTTTGTTTATCATTTTGTTATTGATGTCTAATTTTATTACATTAGATAAAATGTAATGGTCACTCTAGTGAATTTTGCATTTCAGTTA